AATACCTGTAAATAAAAGAAATTAATACAAAATAAAGAGTTAAGGGAACATTTTAACTAATATTACCCATAAACCTTATACTATCAAAATTTAAGTTATTTATAAATGTTTTATGATAGAAAATGATGCATTAGTTGTGTTACTGACTTTTTGTTTCAAATAACCTATTAATTTAACATTGATTTTTTTCTAATTCAGTGTTAGGTAGAGAACGATCAATGATATAAATATTAAATAGATATACATACATACAATAAATTAATGACGCCTTGCATTGACCTGTATATTTATTAATATCAGGATAATCTTTGTAAATAAAAAGTAATTATTAATTTTTATTGCTTGTTTTAATTTTTCATTGATGATTTTAAGTCCATTAATCAATTGTTTCAGGTAATCTAAAGAAGGTACCTATTATTTGATTTTAAAAAAGAAAATGAACTTACTTATTGTTAGTCTGGTAGATATTCCTCAAGGCATAATTTAAATCTTTCTGATAGAAATGTACAAATGTCCATGTTTATTGTAGATGGATTTGAGAAGCAATAGTACATCGAAGGTCATTTAAAAACCAACTCGCCCAGCACCTGTATCAAATTATGAAATTTGTTTTAATTAAGAATATAAATAAACAAAATATCATACCTTAATATTGTTAAAAATTACATAATAACAAGGGTTTGGAACTTATAGCACATAAAACATGATAGTAAAAGTGCTAATAAGCACACAACAATCTGTTACATATGCGTTAAAAAAAGAATAATATGAATTACATTTTGTACATAACTACCCAAATATTTCTTATAAATAAAAGACGGACTTGTATCATTTATTACTGATGATTATAATAATTATGCTATTAATTATGCATGTGAATATACAAATAATTATAGGTATTTTATGTAATTGTTAAATGTTATGCCTAATGTATTTTCAATTAATAAATTATAATTTGTGTGAACATGTTACAAGTTTTAAAATGTCTGATAGGTTAGTTAGCTTGCTCATTAATTTATGAAATTATTGTTATTTAAAATATATGTATCATCATGATAATACAATACTTATAATCAATGATATTGCATCCATCAATAGCTAAATAAATAAACTTATTATAGCAAGCGTTTAAACTAGCATATAAGAGTTAAGATGCTTTTTGATCCAATTAAATCCAGGTTCATCAATGATCTGTTAATATGTCATTATTGACGTTGTGTATAGAAGTATTGTATTATAATCTTAACCAAGTAGAAAAATACAAAAAATTAAATAAATGGACGGTTAATGAGTAAATCAACATAACTTAATATACATCTCACATAAACATCAATAATAATTTTGACATCCATATCATAGTAAGGTATAGTGTAAGGTTAGTAAACAGATTAGCAGTAACGAATAGAGTAAATAAAAGAACATGTGCAAATGTGTATCCGGTATATTATATAAAACTAATATTTAAATGTATACACATCTTTAATGTTACTGATAACCTAAATTAATATACTTTATTATCTATGATAAAACAAGATGAGCACAATATAAAATAGCAAAAAAGAATATATTCAATTTTTTTTTTTAGTAGCCCACGTAAATACCTAATTAAAATATGAAATGTTGTAGTACTTCAAAAGTAACACGTTATGAAATATGTTAGATGAAAAATGTATGTGTTATATTTAAATCTATAGCGAAATAAAGATTAACAGCAAATACTATAGATATTGCAATAGTATTTGTTAACAGTAGTTTATTTATATAGTGTCGTTTAAACAATCTTGAGGCAACACACTTGCTTTCTTACAAACTCTGTAATGTACTAGTACATTTGTTTACCACTAAAAATACAATTTACTATGGATCGAAAACTTTATAATATAATATTGTCATCTTATTATAAACGTAGTAAATTTATGTGCTGGAATACTCTTAAATTGTCAAAACATTTACTATTTAACTGCAAAGCCAAAAGACAATGGTAACGAGCAGACTAGTTTAATTCATCAATACAATGTTTGTACTGACATGAATTTTTATGTGCTTAAGCAGGCCATTAAGTGGTCTTAAGCTGTTTTTGGTAAGAACGTTGTTCAAGTTAAATATAATGTTTACATTTAAATATTTAATATTTTAATATGTGAAAATTTGAAAATAGTTAATAAACAAATAGTGATAAGAATGTTTGAGTGATAAGAAGCTTTTGGTATCGGAAATTATCTTGTCTCGAGACGCCTGTGATTGCAGATGCCGGTAGCCGGTCACAGACTTCTATACTACACTAGATTAGGAACACCAATACAATTTACATTGTCACAAGCGAAGCTCAGCTGTGGAAGGCCGCCATTTTGTCGGTTGGCAAAACATTTCATTTATTATACAAAATGTACTGGGAATAATATTTTTTTTTTTTTAAACAACATGATTAGAAATAATAAAATACGATACAAAATAAAACATAATATCATCTTATTTGATATATGAAATACCATACAGTTGCCAACCAACCTTGAAGCTTCAATTCATGGCGAGAGTATGTACAATTCTACTACTTTATAGAAATCTGTGTAGTAGGTGTATCGGACGGACCAGTAAAATTGTCTTGAACGGTTGCTTGGTTGTGCGCAGGCGCGGTGGAACATCAATTCCGGCATTCGGCAGTCTGCCCGATTGTTATCATTCAATTGTTCCACACTGTTCCTGTAGTTCCGTCCGATACGCTGCATACAGTAACGTATTTGTTACAACGGAAGGATTCTCAAAGTTCTCAACGAAATCCAACACGTCATAAATTAATTGGAATAACAAAAGAAACCGCGTTCTGGGCGTCGTCGTTCAGTAGTGGAGCGACAGCGATCTAAACGGTTTTCCCGGAGAGAAATATCCTGAACACGTCATATTACAGTCTCTCCACTTCAAGTTGACTACAGGGTTTTTCTTATACACATCATGCAAGTATTTGCCTACAACAATGTATTATACGATCACGAGTTTTTCGATGCTCGTGTAATCTCGTATCACTGCTACTAACTGAGACATTGTACTATAATACTATATTATATTTACGTTTACAATATTTCATTTCCGTAATACGATTTGAAGGAAATTTACAAAAATCATATACCAATAACTCATAATACCTATTATAATAATATCTGTTATTTGATTTATATTGTAATACGAAACAAAACATAGGATCCGTATTAGTAGATAAATGTAGATGCACTTTGTATCTATAAATCAAAGTTTATCCTTCATTCGTTTTTAACTGCCATAAAAACAAAATTTTGTTTAATATTTTCTTTTTCAATAAATATTTGAAGTAGTAGGTACTTACAATAATTGTACGTTTATTCAAAAGACTGCACACTATTGAAAAATGATATAAAAAAACTGGTACTTAATAAAAACGGCAGTGTTTGCGTGCAAACTAAAATTGTTCAAAAGAAATAGGTACTTAAAAGTCAAAGACAGATTACTGCGTTATCTGGTTTAAGACGACCCTCATTAAAAGAAACGTGTGTTTACACAGCGTCGATGTTGACTGAAGAAAGTGAGTAATTGTGACCGTGAGTATAAGAAACGTGAGAGACTTTAACGAGATTTTTGAGATTTTAATAACAAGCACTACATAATATTATAATTTTATATTATTATTAATTATGTCGGAACAAGGTAAAAGTTTGCACTGTTTGCAGCACAGTATAAAACACGGACTGAGATACAAAATGTGACGCTAAATAAAACCACTGGTAGCGTTGAAAACATTCGATTATGAGTGTTGATGATAACAGAGGAACATTTTGCGGGCCGTCCCCCATCACCCTCCCACCTTGTGGTTTCCAGTCCATTTTATCTTAGTCCGTGATACCATCTAAAACCGTGGTCATCTTGTTCATTTTGTGGTATAGGTAAGACAGTGTCGCCAGCCGAAAGCCATGGTTTCCGGTTGTTTGATTTGGAAGCATCGAATATATCGCCGTCATCATTGCGAGTTGGTTAGCAGGAGGTAAAATGTTTTATTGAAACCTCGATTGATCCAGCTGAATTTCCACCGCGTCAAGTCTGAAGTGTTATCCATCATAGATCAATACAATCGTGTGCTACCAGGCGACCGACACCACTAGCAGATATTACGTTTGACTGATGAGTCCGTCGGACGAATTGAAGTAAAATATAGATGATACATAACACTTGGATTAGGGTACAGGATTAGGCCACAAAGTGTACATTTCTACATTGATACCTTACTACGTCAAATTGTGAGTTTTCAAATATATGTAGGTATTTGATGTTTTTTTTTTTATTCTGATAGTGTGATTGGTATGGCTTTACTTATTAAAAATATAATTGGACATTTGCTTAACCTGTTTTATATGTATCATTAAATACTAAATTAACCACAGGTATATATAATAACTAGATACTCGACTCCATATACAACAACATTATTGAATTATGATGCCCAACGCCACTTGTCACTCTGTTTACAAATTCTAATCGTTTTGATTGGCAACTGGCTTGTTTGATATGCAATGTTGTTTATTATCATATTACATAATATTATCACATTGACCAAGTTGTAAATGGTTGCCAGAGTCATTAATAAGAAGAAGTTATTATATATATATATCTGTGAAATTAATTAAAAAATAAAATATTATCTATGAAAGCTATCATAGAAAAATAACAATTTATACTAATTTTTTTCAAACACCTACTGATTTAAAAGTAAGACACTAAATTATTTCTATTTTTTCACCAATTGATAATCAGTCATAAATAATTAAGTCATAATTTTTAAAGCTTTTTAAGAAAAAATGAAATAAAACAAGATGTTCTATTTGTATTAAATCGGTTTTATGCTGCAATTTACCATTATATATTCAAACAGCAGTATACTTATATTGCCATCGTTATACGATTTTGGAGTTCAAATTTAGTTACATTTAAAACATAATATTGATTTTATTAATGATTTATTTATAATTTTAGATAAGATGTCTTCTACTAATAAAAGTATACCTGAGATCATGGTTTTCAGACCAACATGGAAAGAATTTCAAAATTTCAGTAGCTACATCGAGGTGATGGAGTCGCAAGGGGCTCACAAGGCTGGTGTGGCAAAGGTATGTTATTATAAAAATTTAGGTATTTTTTTATATCAATTTCAGATTTAATTGAAAGAATTAGATTTTTTTTTCTTCTAAATATGTAACATTCATCTTGAAGGTTATACCACCACCTGAATGGATACCAAGAAAAAAGAATTATGATGAAGATGATATTATGAGTTTGATAATTCCTGCGCCAATCCGTCAAGTAATATGTTTAAGCTTTTAATAAACTTTGTCTAATAATATTGTTTTATTGAACTAGGATGTAGTATGTACACATGGCATTTATGAACAAATTAATGTAAAAGAGAAAGCTATGACAGTAGCTGATTTCAAAATAATGGCAAAGTCTGAACAATATAAAACACCTAGCCACATTGATTATGAGGAACTTGAAAGAAAATTTTGGAAAAATGTTATTTACAATTCCCCATTGTATGGTGCAGATGTTTCTGGATCTATAACTGATAAAGATGTTGATGTATGTATTAAATTTAAACATTTATAAATTATAATTTATTTTATCTCAAATGTATTTTTAAATTATTGACATAATATTTTTTATTAAAAGGCTCAAAAAACAAAAAAAAAATTTTTTTAATTTTTTATAAATGTTAAATTGTTGTAGCTATGGTTATATTAAATTTTTAGTGTATATCCGATGTAAAAAAAAATGATTACTTTAAGAGATATTAAGAAATGTAGAATAGCCGCGATACGTCATTAGGCCCGTTTCATCTTAATTGCCTATCTTATACGTGTATAAGTTGCTCGCTTCACACAACATTTTACCAATCTAACCTTTTACTTTTGAAATTTAGTATACAAATAAATGTGTGATCTTAAGTGTTTAAGACGATAAAAGTATCAGAAATGAAATAGTTTTTTAAATATTAATAAATCTTTAAAGTGATATTTTTGTTGAACGTGCCGTCATAGCCATTTAAATATAAAATAAAAATTCAAATTTATATCTTGTAAGATTTTTAATATATAAAAAAACTAAACGTTATATTGAATTCTGATACTTGTATCATCTTAATCACATAAAATCACACATTTATAAGTTAACTAAATTTCAAAAATAAAATGTTTAGTAGGTAAATTATTGTGTTAAGCAAGGAACTCTAACAAGTATAAGACAGGCAATTACAATGAGCCAGGTTCAATGGCGTCAACCGTTTTTTTTTCAATTGCTCATAATTTATTGAATAATGTGAGTAAAAACATAAAACCTATACCATTATTCATAGAATTTAACATTCTTTCAAATTAAAATAACTTTTTTTGTGTTGTGTTCTCCTTTAAATCAAGGTTTGGAATATTAACAAATTGGGAACAATATTGGATTATGTAAATGAAGATTATGGTATAAAGATTGAAGGTGTTAATACAGCTTATCTTTACTTTGGAATGTGGAAAACCTCATTTGCTTGGCACACCGAAGACATGGACTTGTATAGTATAAACTATTTACACGATGGATATCCAAAGACATGGTAAGATTGTTCTTACATTTTATTATTAGTATACATTTTTAATTATACAATGTTTTTAAATTTAAATTGCATTTATTTTATTTTATTTAAGGTATGCCATACCTCCAGAACATGGTCGCCGCCTAGAAAAAGTGGCTAATAAAATGTATCCATTCTTTACTTCAATATGCCCTGCATTTCTTAGACACAAAGTGGCTGTAATATCTCCTTATACGTTAAAAAAATGTTCTATACCATATAATAAGGTAAATACTTAAAAATTAAAAATTTTAAACTAGATTTTCAATATTTATGACTTTTTTATGATCAATATTGTTGTTTGCTACAGATCACACAAGAGCGAGGTGAATTTATGATAACATTCCCCTTTGGATATCATGCCGGGTTTAATCATGGATTCAATATTGCTGAAGCGACTAATTTTGCAACACCACGTTGGGTGGAGTATGGTAAAAGAGCTTTACAGTGTCATTGCTGCCGAGATTCGATAAAGATCAGTATGGATACATTTGTTAAACGCATACAACCTGAGAAGTATGAGTTGTGGCTTAAAGGAAATGATATCGGTACTCATCCAGAAGATCCTTCTTGTACTCCAGTTATGCGCATGCCTAGTAAATCGTTAAATATAAAATGTACAAGTAGTACTGATTATTATGATAGTTCAAATAAAAGAAGTGTCAAGAAAATAAAGTCTACAAAACTAGAAACAAAAAAGAATCCTGAATATAAAAATAAGATAAACTATAAATCAACTGAGAAATATGTTGTTGATTCTGATCAAACCATTAATCAAAAGGGTTCAACAATCATTAGCTCTAAAGAGAGCGATGATAGTATTGAGAAAGTAATAACTATATCACCTATAAATGTCAAGTGTCTCAATTCTTTGAATATTAATAGAGCTACAGAAGAGTCTCGGGTGAATAAATATCTTAATAAGAGTATTAAAGATTCAACAGTTTATGACGATACCTTAAAAAATAATCGTTTATTATCTAAAAAATGTGACACTGTAAATTATAACGCACATTCAAATTTAGACAAAATGGAACTATTAGCACCAATTAAATTTGAAAAGTCACATAGTTCATCTTTTACCAGTTCAAATACCCATATTAATACAGAGAATAAATTTTATATGACTCAAACTCTAAAAATAGAAGATAATATGGAATCTACCCAGACTTTTTTTCAACCAACTCCTAAACGTATAAAGACTAACAATGGAGAAGAAGATGGAATTGACGGTATGTTTCAGTTAATTTTTACTTACACTATAACAATCAGCAAATATGAAATTTTACTATTTTAATGAAAGTGAATATCAAAATTTAAATATACTATATTATAATATGAATGATACTAGTATTATTGGTTACAATATAAATACTAATTTATTCTGATAGTATTATTTTATTATTTTAATTAAATTTAAATAATTTAATGTTTTTACCATACTTTATGTCTCTATTCAATATAAGACCTAACCTCGGTGACGACCAGTTTTTATCGGGCGGTGATTAGGTAACACCTGTCTGTCACAATCTCCAAGTCGATCATCGGTTCGCCTGCCTTGTTTTTAAGATAAACCTTACCGCACAAGTTAGCTGCCGAGGTTACTTATTATGTTGAATAGAATATAAGTATCTATTTAAATTTTTTTTTAGTTTTTACAAAGGCATTTTTATTCACAGGTATACGAACAATTATAAGTGATATTGTTAACAATTGTTGGTCATTAGAGATTGAACAACTCTATAATATATTTAGAAGTATGAATTATCCAAATTGTTCATCATGTATAATGATGACCTGCGAAAAGGTAATAGGAAATTAATTACTTTAGTTTATCACTTGTTCTTACTTATAAAAATGTAGATTTGGTATTAGTTATGATTAGGGCTCGGATGACAATGCATTTGCATCTTTTTCTTTTGGAATGTCTTACACCTGCGGTTCCCAACCTTTTTAGCCAGCGGTACCCTTTTGTTTGTACAAATTTTGTTAGGTGCAATTATGTGCATATCACGAGGAACTTGATAAAAATAAACATAAGTTTTCATTCATAACTGATTTAAATAATTTTATTGAACCTATTATTAACAAATTATAATTTTATAGTTGAAAGTAAAAAGTAAAAATACTGCTTTAATAGTGAAAAACTAATAATTAATGAGATATTTGAGGCTGCTTATTTTTGGAAAGTTTGGCAATATCTGGTTCAATTTGACACAACTAGATATGGGGGTCAGGTTCTACATTAAGGCGGTTGCAGTATTTGGTTTTAGTAGCCGTATAGGCCGAAAATCCTGCCTCGCATAAATAAGTGGTAGCAAAGGATAGGATTATTGCTTTTTTACTTAAATCATCAAAACTTGTATTTTTCAAATTTAGACAAAATTGAATGTAAGAATTGCTGCTGAAAGTGAATTTCAATGTCGAATCTGAAGTAATATTGATCAATCTCTCATATTCAATTGAAGACAAACATGAGGGTTTTTCACAAATCGAAAATGGATTCAGTATCCATTCATGGTATTTCAACAACACTTCTTGATCTGTAGGAAAATATTGATCAAACAAATGTTTCAGCTGTTTGAGGTGTTCAGAAATCTGGTTGATAATGCCAATGGTAGAATGTTCTTCATTTTGAATTTTGACATTGAATTATTCGACACATATTAGAAACACTATATTTAATATTAGATATACAGATAGTATGCTAAGTAATTTTGTACGTACAGCAATTTTTTGTCTTTTCAACTACAATAATTTGTAAATTTTTAATGTATAATTTAATAGCTTTTTTAATTCTCCCATGAGCCGTGGTATCCCTTAAATGAGCTCGCGGTGCCCTAAGGGCATCATGGTGCACAGGTTGGGAACCGCTGTCTTACACAATTCTTCCCAATCTACAAATGTGATTCAAGATCTCCGTGTTGTATTTTTAGGGAATTTTTACTTATTTCTCATAATATGACTAAAAATATTGATTTCATTGAAATATTTACATAGTACTACTTAATATAAATCATTTTGGTGTTGAACTATATAACATCAGGTTCTCTGGTTTTAAATTAGACAAGGCTGAAATTTATCTTAATGTCACACCAACCAAATAATCAATTTAATTGCAAACAACTTTTATAGGAGTATTATAGTGAAGTACAGTGTAATACAAATGTAATTTGTCAAATTTAAATTTTTACTATTTTTTTTTTCATATTTAAAAACCTATTTATAAACACAGTTTTGCATGTTAAATTTATTTTTTTATATTTATAGGGAAATCAAATCTAAGCCCTAGCTATAATTAAAATATTATTTTTGCTTACACCAATACTTTTTAAGAATGTAAATTGTTTTAAATGAACTAAATATTTTAACAATCATAATATATTTTTATGTTTGAGTAGGTATCTTTCAACTTGGATTGGAAAACTACTGCAAGATCTTTCATGCATCTAAAATCACTTAACGCTCTGAAACCTACCAAAGCAATTTTTCATAATGCAATTTCTGGCACCATCATTTTGAATGCAGAACTCTTAAAATGTGAAAAATGTTATTTAGTCGTTCATAAAGTGTGTTATGGTATTAAAAATGTAGATATATGTATTCCTTGGTTGTGTAATCGTTGCATGAAAAATCCTATGAATGCTGTAAGTATATTATAAATTAAAAAAATTATCTATAGTTGCTCAATTCTCAAGTCAAATGCTACTACAGTTTTTTATATACTCAAAAATACAATTACTCAATTTAAGTTGAGTACTTACTCTTAGTAGGTAACTTTTATTTTTTACCAATCAACATAAGGCAGGAACTCTACAATCTCTATTTATGCAGGAAATTTTAAAATAATCGACCAATTTGAGGAGTATTTTGGCAATTTAATGTATTAAAACAAAAAATGTTTGACTCAAACAAAACTAGCTCAACTAATTAATTATATTAATTTTATGATTGTAAATCTCCAATTTAGAATCTTATATTGATGATCTTTGCTGAAAAGAAAAAAAATAAACTCTGATTGAATAAAATGTGCACAATATTTTTAAAATTACATTATTACTTTGTTTTATTATGATTATAAAATCTTAATAATCATTAGAATTTATGTATAGGCTTGTGTATACTGTCCATTAAAATACGGTGCTCTCAAAGAATATAAAATCAATGAATGGTCACATGTTGAATGTTATCTTTTTGTGCATGGCAGTTGTCCATTAACTACCAGGATTTTTCCAACAGACTTTATGACTAACCAAAAGGTAAATTATGGGTTCATTCTTACGCTGTATTTTTTTATACCTAAATTATGAAACATTTTAAATGTACCTATTAAATATTTTACAGTGTGTAATATGCAATTTAACATCTGGTAATTGTTTCCGTTGCTCTGATTGGAGTTGCAACGCATGGTTCCATATTTCTTGTGGAATATTTGCTGGATTTGAGTATCTCATTGACAGAATCAGGAAGCATATTTTAATCAATTGCATTGATCATTGTTATGTTTCAAATAAAGTAATTTATACTTCATATTCCTTATGTTAATTATTTTATGGTGGATGTTTGTATTTTTAGCAACGACTATTTCACATAAACCAAAAAGTATGGGCGAGTCAATCAAATAATAATAAATTTAACAGGGAATGTAGAATTGTACACATTGATAAAACTCCTTTTTGCATTGTAAAATTCAGTGATGGTTCAATATCCGACAGAATTCCATTAAAACAAATTAAGGTAATGTATTATTGTTTATTACACTGTTTGTATAATTATTTAAACATTCAGGTAACGCCTCTTATGTTAAGCCACAAATTTACATTAAGATGTCAAAAAAATAAAATGTTGTTTTTGGCTATCAAAACTCAACGATTAAGTTTGCATAGATCTAGGTTGCATTTTCAAATTATTTGACTTATCAATTTAAACCTGAAATTCACGGGATAACAGTATTGTAAAATTTTTTTAAAACTATTATAATATACATTTTCATATTATAAGTTATTTAATTACTGATATTTATTATATTTTTGTTATGTTCAATTATTTGGAATTATTTCAAATTTAGAAAAAAAAACTTGGTGGTACCACGGATATAAATATTAGTATTATGACAAATGATTGTACTAACAAATATATAATTTTTGTTGATTTCTGTTATGTAGTTAAAATGTAATTAAAATAAAAAAATATGATACTTTTAATAATATTAATTAACTAACCTGATACTTAAGAACTTTATTCTTATACACAGGCATTTTATGACTTGTTGTTATTTATTTTTAAACATTTGCCTTTTTTCCATTAAAATCAGTCAAGAAAATTACAAAACTTTAAATAAATAAAATATTCTTTACAACATAGTTCATATTCTCTAATAATCATAATTTTTTTTTTTAATTATTTATCGTAATTTTTTTTTTTTCAGAACTTTGCAAATGATATTCCATCCATTAACCAAGAAATACATTTAGAATCTGGTGACAAAGGTTTATTCCTGGGGTTGAATTATGATAATCCGACATATTTAGTAAGTGTAATTCATATTGCATTTAATTTTAATAATTTAAATTAATATTATTGTAAATCTCAGGTTGTGTATAACAATGGAAATTATAGTTCTGTACAAGCTCATAATATAAGATTCTGGAAAAATAAACATATAAGCAATTTAAAGCAGAACGGCAAGCGTGTGTTAGCTAATTACAGAAAAAATGTGGGTTCGATGTTCGACTTTACCAAGTGATACTTTTTTCAGAAAAATATTTTAAAAAAACTGGTTGCCTGGCTGGAATTGTACCCATCCGACCTCATCATGGTTGATTGCTTATGATATTGACTATTAAGCTGTTGTGTGTTGTGAAGGCTATTTTTTTTTTTCGTACCCTCTGTAAAGAAGTTTTACTTGAAAAAAAAATAAGAAAATAATTTATAATGTCTTATAAACATTTTTTTTTTTTTCAACTATTGTAAGATAAGATAAAGAAAGTTACACTTAGGGGTTATTTGTTCTTATCGGATAGCCTGAAGTATAATATATTATAATGGCTTGCCCCAAGATGACATTTTTTAGCGGGAATTTTGAATGAAAATTGTAGAAGTATGTAAAACAATATTGTTGTCTTAATAAATTGACGCTTCTTCTCTTGAACAGAACAGGTGATTTTTTTGTAACTATAGGTACCTACTTTTAACTCAGTTGTTTTTATCTTATTATTGTAATCCATATTTTATTTTTACAAATAATGTATAATTAATTTTATGTATTATATTCTCAAGCCTATGGTCTTGATATTTAAAATAATAAAAACGTAGGTACATAGGAATTAAAATTGAAATTGTTCAGGGTATGAAAAGCAAAAATATTTTGTGTACATTAAGATTGATTTCTATTTAATATTACATTTGATAATGTGAATGAAAAATACATTTGCTTAAAACAAATTATAATAAATAACACATAGGAAAAAATAAAAACGTTTAATAAAAAACGTTAACACATATTTTAAAGGTCACATATTGTCACTGATTTATATTATGAATGAGAGGCTTATAGAAGGGTGGGTAGTGTTTTAATCTAGACGTTGTCATGGTGTCAGTATGTCACGGCCAGTTCAATTCCGAATTAATCGTTCAACGGCCATTAAAATTGTGGTAGATACCTATTTATATTATACCAAAACACAATCCCGTGACAAAAATGACTTACATTAATTTTCTTTAAAGTGAGCACAAATCTTTAGTTTATTATTTAGAATAAAATTATGCAGTTAAAAAGCATAACCTATTATAATGTGTTACATCATCCCAATGTCAATATAAAAATATAAAAATGCTAAGCTGCAAAAATTATTTAATGTTTTAAGTTAATGTCAATGGAATATATGTTTATTCGCCAGTAATTTCCTTAATTTTTCAGTACATATTATGTCACAGGTAAGTATAGTAGTATGATATTTAAATAAGGGTTTAATATTGTTTAACATTTATACCTTTCAGAATAGGTGTTTATCAAAAATTAGTAGAGCGATGAATGTATTGATTTTACAATGATGTATCTTTTTATTTTTTGTGTTTGTCTACAAGATAAATAGTTGTAAATAATGCTACGATTAGAAAATTACTTAAGTATAATTTCTGGTTGTTAAGTGAATCTAGTTGGTGCATACCTACAGGAGGTTAGATTTTAATTCGCAGTAATTTTTAAGCAAATCGGTTTTAGACAAAATCGATTTTGGTTTTTGGTGCAACTCTAATAAAACAACTATCGATGCATGACATTTTTACTGAATGTTTCTATTAGCATTTTATGTACAACATAAAATTTTCAAAAATGTTGACTCGAGTTAAAAAATGTTATTGTCTATCTATGATTTTAAAATGTAATGCAAGATCTCTCACAACTTATAAGTTTGTCTAATTCTTTTAACAAAAAAAAAATGTCTACTGGAAAGTAAAATTACATTTTTATGAGAGCTTAAAGTTCAATGTTTGCGACATTGGATATTTACTCGATTTAACATTGAACGGTTTTCTTATATTGTTAAAATTCAATAGGTAGTGAATTATCACATGTAGATGTAGACACTTGAACTTTACACCAACTGTTAATTTTATAATTTTCTATACTTGATAGTTGATGATATTTTGATAATATTTTGACCTACTTACATAGTCATTTGAAATTTTAATTGTTTTAGTTTCTTTTCTATGAATGTCAATAAAATAATATTCGTTGGGCCGAAAGGTTTGGAAATTGATTGTTACAAAAATAAGTTTAATAAAAAAAAAAAAAAACATTGGCATAATTTTTTTAAGCATTTAATGCTGTTGATAGCGAACCATTTATAAGTGATTTGGGCAATATTATAATATATTCATAGTGAGTTATGTGCGACTGGATGTGTAATTAATGATCATTAGTGTGCGTGAGATCTCCGAACGCTTATAATGTAGGTAATTAAAGATAAAGTATTGTTAAGATTCATGGAAATAAGTTATGTACCTGGTACACACACCCAATCACAAGTTACTAAATTTGGCGATCAAAAAAGTCTCAACACGAATATCCTAAAAAGCGAAAGCAAAATACACATAGTACCAAAAGCATGATTTTAATTTTCGAAAACATATTTGAATTCATTATTCTATCTTCTGGGTTATGTAGAAAATTGATTTTTTATTTTTATTTTTCAAAATTCACCTTTACTTTAGTGTTACTAAAATCCATTTCCTACATAACCTAGAAAAGAGAATAAGGAATTCAAATATGTGTTCAAAATTAAAATCGGACCATTAGACATTAGTACTAGGTGCATTTCTCTACTGCTTAATGTTCTAAATGTAGGAAACAACAAACGGCTTTCAAAAGCCTTGAAGTTAAAATTTTAAATTAAGTGCAAATATAATTGTTTTATAAGTACCTATATTTTATAATATAATGTTATATTATGTGTCTATTGGAGCATATAATAACATTTGTGCCATCACTCATATTCCGTACCAATGCTGCCATAGGCAAAAAGTCAAATATTGTGTGGTTTTATATTCTTAACTTAATTATACGTTTCAATTTGACACACATAATAATATTTGATACAATGATTAAATAGCTACTATATTATAGTAGATATTATAACTATGATAGTATTCAAGATAGAATAAAAACAATAATAATTAACATAAATTATAATAGTCATACCTACTTTAAAAAAAACGGTATTATTATTGTTTATCATGTAAAGATATCACAAATACTTTAATTTGAATGAAGTGTACAGAGAGGGTAATCGTTTAGAATAAGTTTCTAAGCACAAGTATGTAATACGCAAAGTCAATTGAATAGAAGATATATGTAGGTATGTTTAAGTTATTGGACCAGATTTTAAGGATACTATAGGAACAATATTTTTAAATCTGGAATCGAAGTTCATTGATAGGTCTGCCCAGTAAGTGGACCATTAATATTATTAAGTTAACACATTGTAGGAAATCCATTAATATTTCAGGGGGGCTAACATTAATGTGAGCGGGTGTTTCGATCCTACAAAACTAAAAAATAAGGGGCTTCATGGACTTTTTTGGAGGGGGGCTAAGATCTCTCAAGCCCCTAACCCCATAGATTTCCACCAATTCATTAAAATCGTAAAATTGGGGTTGTAACGGAAGGGATAACTAGGTTGGATGTATATATTACCAGGTTATCGGGCACCTAGTTACCATGACGTATAATGATACGACTAGGAACTCATAGAAAATTAATTGTGTAATTTGATAGGTATATTATACTTAATCAGGATATCAGTATTATTTTGGCACCGTCGGGCTCCTACGGAACCGGCGGTCAGCCCAGCAAAACGAGAGTGTAGGGGGTTGAGGTAACACCGTTAAGACCTAATATATATTATATGTTATATAGGTGAATATCACTGAACACGGTATGTATGGTACTTAGGACAGGTGCACGATCATATAATTTCAGAATTTTAAGAATATGACAATAAATGAGCTGGCGGAGACGTCTCCCCGCATCAGCATACAATAATAATAAACAAGTAGCTCAGATTAGAGCATAATACAGATAGTAATGATAATACAATAATAATAATACTAATATCACGAACGATACCTAACGACGATGGCTGCTGAGAGGAGGTGGGTGGCGACGGCTGCAATGCCCGTGAAGTTGTCCGTATACGGCGACCTTGACCGACAGTCTATTCGCGTCGACGGTGGCTGCACGTACGGCGGCCAGTAGACCGGTCTATCAGAATCCGACGGAGCGTTATATTTATGATTCCGGCGGCGGTGACGGCAACTCACTCACTCACGAGTATGATTTCAAACGCACGGCAACGGACAACGGCACAAACAACGAGCCAAAGCTCGAATATAAGTAGAACGTACAGCAATTCACAGACAATGGGAGAGCGGATACGAAGACAAAATAACCTTGGCCAACGATGACGACACACAGCAGGCAAGATATCATCCGTTCGCTCAGCGAAGCACTGACTATAGCGGACAGTTTGCACGAGCGCGCAACGGTGGCCGCTATTATCGACGTTTGTATTCGTACGCCAACGGCTCACCCGGTACGGCTTGTCAGGCTGGGTCTGCACGTAACAACGCTGAGTTTCGAACAAGTATTCTTATTTGTTTGAAAAAACAACATTCGTAGTTTCGACGAAGACGTCACTCACTGTAATCATTTTTATTACATATTTACGTAACATGTATTATATTTTATTTTAAACTTAGTAATGAAATTAAATAATATTAAAATCATACTGCAGATATTCAATGAATTCGATTTTACACATAGGTATTATTTCATAATTGGCTATAGTTATCTTTAATATTATAATTATTCATATTATAACCTAATACATTTTTAATCATATTATTTATTGTGCTTTGGAACGTCTCAACGAGCCAGCTTTGTTATCGAACAATACTCTGTAATAGACAAAAATATTGATGAAATTATAGACGAACTTTCCACCAAAGAGAGTTGGCATATATTTTTATATGATGATTTTTACTATTTTAGATATAATAAAAATAATGATTGATTATGTTGGTTGATTATTGACTGTATAATGCAGTGTATTAGTATATAATGTATAGTATTACAACATATAATAGGAAAACATTGGAAACTATAAAAAGGGGTGGTGGGCGGCAAAATTCAATGTATACGTGAATATTGATTCTCTCAATGCCTTCTCTCCTGACATAAACAAT